AATGACCATTACTTACCAAATCTTGCAAGGGAATAATAATACCATTAAAAGAATAGTGAGGAAGTTTGTTTAAAATATTGTAGAGCTTCAGGTTGAAATCTGGGAGTCATGTCTTTATGAATTTCAATGTCAATGATTTTCTTCTCTTTAGAAGGATTATGATGACTAGGCAGAAAGTAGGAGCAAGGGTTACAACTTTCAATTCTTGAGAGGAATGAGCATGCATAACAAATAGGAGAAAGATGTGCTCCATGAATGACTCTTGAGAAAGGATCAAGAGGCCACAGGAATTCAGGTTCACAGAACAGTGAGTGAATAAATATGAGTACAGCCGTACCTATAACCTTCCACAAAAATTACCAAGGCAAGCCTTAGAGGTTAACTAGAAGGTGCTTAATTCATTGCTTATTTAATTAGAAGGTGAGCCACATGTGTGTTGGTTACATGTTGACTTTGGAAGAGAAATGAGCCTTTCACAGGGTCAGAGTAGAATTCTATATGTGAGAGCAGCTCTAGACTTCTACCTGTGTACGTTAGGGGAAAAAGACAAGGTTTTTTGAGCAAAAAGAAAGGGCCATTTTTCATTTTCTTTTTTTGGTATAAAGATAAAAAGAAATTAACAGAGGTTTGAAAAAAATAGTTTAGCTTTGTCTCATCAATAAGGTATGAGTTTGGCCTGAAAATGGATTGTCTCTTTACCTTAAACAACCCAAAACTCTGGTCTCTTAAAAGTTTTATTGAGAATCTATATTTTCAAGCAATTATTGTTAAACATCAACATTTTTCTATGATATATTTGTGCCTTATGTTATTTTCTATTTCCCATTGGAATTAAGAAGTAAACTACTGCTTATCCTAACTTTTGAAATCCAATGAGAACTAGGCAATATGGCTAAAAAAGAGCATCTGGAAAGCTTATGTTATAGGAAGTATATTTGAATTACTTTCGGCGACTAGCAGTAATTTAAAGTAAATCACATATCTCCTGCAGACTCAAATTTCTCTAAGAGTAAAATAGTGGCTTGGCTTAAAATTTAGATCTATGAGATTTTTCCAAATCAAATCTTCTTAACTAATTGAAGCTAATAATTTTACTTATATTCAGGATGAGAATACCATCTCTCCTTGTTGGTTTTAAAATAATTGTTTCAAAGGAGAATCACATTAAGAAGTTGAAACATGACTATTGTTTGGCCTATGATTTTCCAGAGTCCCCCATGGACATACCGATATGCTACTCTTCATATGTTTTACCTCATTCCTCTACTTTTCCTCAATTTTTATCAATAGGTATATAAATTTATCTAATCAAGGTAGGATAGGTAAACTTACATATTAGATGATGCAGAATGAAAATGTGGAAAAACACTGGTTTAGGTTATAACTTAGTAAAAGGGCATTAATGGATATTTACTAAATGTTTTCCAATAAACATGTATCCTTGCCATAAGAAAAAAGCTAATTCTTTACAAGTTTATAGACTTGAGGAAACCAATTCTGTTGTGTTCTTATCTGGCCTATGTACTTCTAGTTCTGCATATAAGGTTACATGCTAATTTTCATGACAGATTTTAAAGATTTTGGTTAATATTCAATCTGATAACTGATTACAAGAGATGAGTTTCAAATTGCATTTAGGATTGTTGATGGAATTCACCTCCTTAGAGGAGTGATCATTTACAGCCCTTTGATGGGGATGAAGTCATATAGATTGCTTTGAAGATGAGTACTACTGTGGGGAGATAACTGCTGGGGTGAAACTTAAGTGCTAATGAATTCACAAGGACCAATCAAGGGAGATGGGGCATCACATCATTTATTTAAAGTGTTTAAACTATCAGAAGTTTAATCGATCATATTGGTATGTACAAATTTTAAAGCATCTGCTTTTTACTGTACTCCTGCTTGGTACAGGATGAGATGAAGTGTGAGGACTTTTTAAATTGTTCTGGGCTAGTTGAGAGACGTTTTAGTGTAGCAGAAAGAGCTGGGCTGATCAGGAGGCCTGGATCCCAGTCTACATCTTTCATTACCAGTCCTGTATTTTGTCATCTGTACGATGTCATCTGTGAGATAAATAATATCTGATCTTCAAGTTGTATAACTGAAGAAAGCACTTTGAAAGTATAAAATATCACTGTAAAGTTATAAGGTATTATAATTGTAGGCAGTGAAAAATCTAGGTTATAACACTGAAAAAAATATGCTGTTCTATTTTTTCCTTTTTGGTGCACTTTTCTAGGTGAATGTGCCTCTTAGGAGCAATTGTCTGGGAGTGTCTGGGATAAGCTTGGGCTGCACAGGCAGTGTGCTCCCCGAAAGACTCGGAGCAGCTCAGCCGGCACATCAAGAGTGTGAAGCATGAAGTACATTTATTCTGCAAAAATGATAATTAAATATAAGACAACATTTCAAGGGTTCTGTTTTTTAAATAAATACAACAATAAAATCAACGAAAACTAAAGTCATATTCAGAGTTAACACGGGCCACCACTTTTCACAGACCTCACGGCACTTTGAAGACAGCATTCAAACGTTAATTTGAGTTGTTCAGATATTTTAACTACACAGAGCAATTTTTTAAGGGTGGTGAAGCCACAGGATACAAAAACAAAATCAATGACAGAAATTGGAACAAAGTATACTGTACATAAAGGTATTTGAATCTTCGATTTTGAGTTGAAAATGAGAAAATGGGGAGGTCCCGGGTTATCCCACAGTGTTGCTTGGACCTGCAGAGATCGTGTCAGCCTCTGAGAGCCTTTGAGCTGTCAGCAGTCACTTTCTAAGAGTCCTGGGGGTGGTGGTGGTGGTGGACAGTGAGGCTTATCAAAATTATAAAGGGTTCTGAAAATCATGTAAATATTAGTACAATTATACTGTCTTTGTATAAAAAAGCATCAAGGGTTCAGGGTATACATTGACTAGATTTATCAATATAATAGAAGATAGCTAGGATTTTTTAAGGATTTACCTTTTATTTTTACTGTATACAGAAGGATCAAACATTTAACTTGTCATATTGCCTCAACTTAATTCCATATAAGCTCACAAAGGCAAGAAGTTTAATTTAAACACAGTATATTAGTCATGAATTTGTGTTTGGCAAAAACAAAACAAAAGCCGTTTTGTTGTATGTAATATTGTATATTCCTGTGAGTCAGTACCAAAGTATTTTTCTTACTCAAATGTATTCATATTTTAAAAAATTATCACTTACGAAGGGAAAAACATCCTTCTGTTGTGAATTGGTTTTAAAGATAACATTTGAGATAAAATTTGGGCTTCTTTTCCTCACTTCCACTCCCTTCCTTCTTCCTGTCATCGTTATCTTTACTTGAGATTTACTTGCTGCCCTGTGCCAGGGGTAGCAGGTGTCTGGCTCATGGATTGCTCAGCTGATTAAATCATTTGCTTGTCTTTTGAGGGGTGAGGAAAGGACAAAAATGTTAGTGATTTTTGGCTGTTGTTGTCCAAGCGCAACACTGCAGCAATATCCCATAAGGCCAGAAGATGGTGCTATTGTCTATAAAAGTAGACCCGCTGTTTTACTACATTGTTCAAACTAGTATTTTAGGGACTTCTCTGGCGGTCCTGTGGTTAAGACTCCGTTCTTCTACTGCAGGGGGCTCGGGTTCTATCCCTGGTCGGGGCACTAAGATGCCAAAAAAAGTCAGTATTTTAAAGCCGTTTGTATTTTCAAAATTCACACAGGGCCTAAGCAAACTAGAAAAATTTAGTAATTGTTTCTATGTTTTTAATCAAGAGGTTTTGTATATCTATATCTATCTATTCTATCTATATCATATAAGGCATTAGACCTTTTCTCGTCAGGTATGTGGCACACATATGCATTTTCACAAATTGGATTATGAACACATAATTAAGTGATGTTACTTTAAAGGGTTTTTTTGTATCTCTTGTAATGAAATTATAATAGGGTGCCTAGGGAGAAACTTTTTCCTCCCGTCTTTCAATTTCTTACTCTTATATCCTTCTGCTTTCCTCTCTTCTCCCCGCTCCTGCTGTATGTACTGTGGTGTCTTAGGCATTACAATGACCGTTGTAATTTCTATGGCAAGATGCAGTTGTTGAGAGTGCAGTATTAATACTGCACATAAAACTGCCTTAGAAGGTTTATTGGTACTTAGTATAGATCCATTTCTTACTTGGTTGATGCTTTCAACTCTAAGGTTCTCATACTGGACTAGTCTCAGAGTGGAATGTTACCAGTTAAACTTATTTGCCAATGAGCGATTGTTTTATCTAAGAATTATGTGTTTTATTGTGCACTTAATGAGTTCAGCGAGGCCCAGGCCTAGGAGGACTTCTTTTATTCTATGGCTGAATGCCCCAGTTCAGTTTTGCCCCTGTCCTATCGGTTCTATGAGGTATGAATAGACTGGGTTAACTGGGCTACGAGGCGTGTGGTCACTGGGAACATCATCTTGGTGAAGAGTTGTACAAACGTCACAAGCGAATCCGAGGGAACGTCTGCAGATTGTTTGCAACAAGCTTGTACCCCAGGCCCTGATCTGTGCGCTTGGGAGAAGCCAGTGAGCAAAACCCGAAAAGACCCTGTCCTCTTGGGGCTTAGGATGGAGTTGGGAGTGGAGAGGGAAGTTATCCAAGCGAACGGTCCGGTGCGTTGATGGCGACAGTATTCGACGGAGCAGGGCAGGGCACGGGGACGCGGGGGGCGAGGCCAGGGGACTACGAAGTCGGCCAGTACGCGGAGACTGGACCTGGGCGCGGGTGTTCGCGCGGGTGTGGATGCACGTGCGGGGCGGGGTCGGGCGGACCCCCCCCCCCGGGGGCGGGGCCAACCCGGGGGCGGGGCTCGGTGTGCCAGGAGAACCCGGGACAGAGGCGGGACTCAGAGGGCGGGGAGGACCCAGGCAGACCATGGAGGCGGGGTTCTAAGTGGGGGCGGGGTTCTGGGCGGGGCGCGCCCCTGGGGCGGGGCTCGGAGGGCGGGTCCGCGGACGCCATTGCGCTGCTACCGGCTGGCTGCGGTCTTGAAGGGTACGCAGCATCGCGCCTCGTTCCTGACCCTCCCCTGTCCGGTTCTCCGGCCCGGCCTAAGGCCCGTACCCGGCCTGGTCTCCGCCCCGTCCACCCCCGTCCCCGCGGCGGCGCGCGCGGCCCGCTGGGCGGGGTTCCGGGGATGAGGCGGCGGCGGCGGTGCGCGGAGAATATGCTCGGCAGCTGAGGAGACGCGGCGCCCGGAGCGCGGCGCGACCCACGGGATGGCTCAGCCGGCCGGCCCGGAGGGCGGCGAGGGGCCTCCGGACCCCGGGGCGGCCGCGGGCCCGCAGCACGCGCTGAGCCTGGAGGAAATCCTGCGGCTCTACAATCAGCCCATCAACGAGGAGCAGGCGTGGGCTGTGTGCTACCAGTGCTGCGGCTCCCTGCGCGCCGCGGACGCCGGCCGCCGCCAGCCCCGCCGCCGGGTGCGCTCGGCCGCGCAGATCCGCGTGTGGAGGGACGGCGCCGTCACCCTGGCGCCCGCCGCCAGCGACGCGGGAGAGCCGGACGCCGCCGCGGGTGAGCCGCCCCCCGAGACCCCCTTCTCCCACAGAAGGACCCCGCCGCGGGCCCTTCCCCCAACCCCCGCGACCCCTAGCCCCGTGCCCTTCCGCCCCATGGCCCCCATCTCCCACGGCGGACCCCCACCCCGGCTCCAGGAGGACCTGGCCCCCCAGGCCCCGGCCCTTCCGCCCCAGCGCCGCTCCCTCTCCGCCCAGTCTCCTACTGGAGGACCCTCGCCAAGGCCCCGGACCCTTCCGCCCTGCGGCCCCCCACCCCTCACGGGAGGCCAGGGAAGCGGGCAGGGCCTGCGGCCGAGCGCGGCCCGCTTAGGTCTGAGCGTGGGCAGGAGCGTGGGCGGGCGGCTGCGCCGGGAGTGGGGCGGGGGTCCGAGTGTCAGTGCGCGGCCTGTCGGGGCACCGAGGCTCCGGAGAAGGGGAGTGGGGTCGGTCCCCGCACGCGGGAGGCCGGCTCTGCGCGCTCGTGCTGCTCGCGGCCGAGCCCGGGTGGGATGTGTTCGGCGCTGCAGGCGTTCGCCAAGACCTGGTCGGGGAGCGGGGGGTGTGATGCGCTGGTAGGAGGGCTGCGCTTTCGCAAGGAGCTGTCAGCCGATGGTACTTTTCAAAGACTGGCAACGATATTCCCTCGGTTGGGAATGTAAAAAAATCTGAGCCCTGAGGAGAATGCTGCTATTTTGGGAGAAATGAAGAGGCTGAATTAACATAAAGATAAACAGTACGATTTCCCTGTACATTAATATTTGTTGTGATGAAAAACAAGCTTGTAAAGTAAAAAGTTGACAGGATGTCAGATAAATGGATTTTACTTAGGTCATTATCTAATGTAAATTCTTCAAGATTATCACCTTCCCATCAACATATAGCTACGGCTTACCCAGATATCTATTGATGATGAAGAGAAGATTGATAATAGGTTTCTCCAATCAGTTTTTATATAATTCAGCATTTTGAGAGACAGATCTATTAAAAGCATTAAAAAAAGAAAATCCACCCTTACTTAAAAAGTTGGTGAAAGTGTCAAAATGCTTAAGGTGAAAGATGTACTTCAGAATTAGTAAAGTGACTTATTAAATTGATTAAAATAGAGAACAGTCAAGAGTATGTTATCAATTCTTTCAGTTCCAACAGAACATTTATTATTTATTTTCGGTGTCAGGTAAACAGACTTTTAGAATTTTAATTTATTTAAAGCCAGTCTTTTTACGATTCTTTTGAAATTATTTCAAACAGGTCTTTTAGTTCATTTGATGTGTCTATTGCTTTTAAACTTGGACAATATTAGTGGGAAATACTTGGAATTATAATTTATTTACAGTGTATTAATATGATATGAAAAGATACTTTCATAAAATACAGCGAAGTCATGCCTTGAGATCCAGTGTTTCAAGGGGAAAAATGGTTATATGCAACCTCCTTTTAGAAGTAGCATTGGTAGTGGTGATTTCCAGAAGGAACAAACTGGATTTACATTGTCCTTGAACTTAATCCCAGAGTTCAAGTTATGTTTGTGGACCTACTAGTAGTTTAGTTGTCAAAGACTAATGGATTCTGGTGGTATTTTTTAAAAAAATCATAACCTTATGTTGAAGTGAATTACTTTTTGCATCAGTCATATGAATGATAACGTGTTGACTTCAATGTAATACATTCTCTCTTTCTGGAGAGAATGGCAGAGTTGTTTCCTGCAGCAGCAGTAATGGACTTGTGATCCATGCTCTTCCTACTTAGTTCTGCTTGTGACCTTTGCTGCCACTTGTGGAGAGAGCCCAAAGTTGCCGATATGGTCTTGAGCATTTTGGGGCTGATTGATTAAAAATTTGGGAAGTTCATACTAAAATAGTGTTTATATTAGATAATTTATTTCTTCTTAGTATTAAGAGTTGTTGTGTGGCTTTGGAAGGCACAACGTCTTCTGAACATTTACCCTGATTCTTAAAAACTCTGTATAACTTGGTACTTTGCACACTTGTATAAATTCTATTTTTAAGGAAAAATGGTAATCTTGAACCTCCATTCTAAGAAGCACTTTGTTTTTCATTGTAAGATGTTTAACATGATTGTATGGTGGCAGTCGACAGCATTTGTATTTTCACGTGTTATCCATTGACTTATTTTCTAAATGCAGGTTTAGGAAGTTAAGTGATGTGCTTGAATTCATACTGGTAACTCTGAATCAAATCCAGGTCTTTTAACCTCTAGCCTTTGTAGTATTGTGGAATGGAACAAACTTGGTTTGAATTGGAATCATGATTCCTCCCCTTTCTAGCTGAGTGACCTTGAATAAGTTCCTTAATCTCCCTGAGTGCAACCTTCTCATCTGTAAAGTGAGAATAGATCACTTTTTCCCTACGGGATAGAGGTTTAAGTGAGATGGTATGTGTAAAGTGCCTAACGCAAGGCTTGGTATGTAGCAGGTACTCAGTAAGTTTTAGGTCTCTCCGTCTCCTGATCTTGCGGTCCTTTCACAGCACCACGGTGTCTCTGTCCAGCTGTTCTGTAATTTTTACTCAGAATTGGGACACATGTCTAGGTCAGGGATTCTCAGCCTATGCACTGACATTTTTGACTGAATAACTCTTTGTGTGGGGGCTGTCCTGTGCCTGTGTAGGATGTTTAGCAGCATCCCTGGTCTCTACCCACCAGATGCCAGTAATCACCTGCCCCCCTTCCCTGAGTAAACGCTTCAGACATGGCCACCTGTCCCCTGTTGAGAACCATTGGTCTAGCCAATGATGGGTGGTGCCGTGGATTGTGTTTAGTGTGGGGAAATGGATCCCAGCTGTAATCTTCAAGCGTGTGAATCTTTCAGCTGGCCACTGTTCTCTGCTGTTGAGTTGAATAGTTGGTTCTTACCACTATCAGCAGTATCACTCCATTTAGTAGGAAGAAATAGCACTTCACACTCATTATTGACTTGTTTTGGAATTGAATGTATCAGTAATTGATTTTATTCTTGTTTTAATAGTATCGACACGTGCAGAGTATTCACATTCAGGTTGAATTAAAAAAATTAGAAATACATATAAGAGAAATAGAAAAATGTGGGAGGCATGGAAATGAAACCAATATCGGAAGAAAACAATGAAGAATGAATAATTTTATTTAGCATTCAGATGTAACTCAAAGTCATTTTACTAACATGGCCATGAAAGCAGTGTGATATAGGACTGAAGGAGATTAAAAAAGAAGGAAAACTAGTTCTTTAGAGAATACCTTAGGAGGAAGAGGTTAAATTATGAATCAGGATCTTAAAATGGGTAGTACATTTTATGAAGTATTTCTGTGATGACGGGAGGGTGATTTGTTGATTAGAATCAGGAGGGTTTATGATTTATCTTAGGTGGCTTACTTAAAATTTTTATTTTCCCCAATGTTTATGAACTTGTAGTCATAAAAAGACCTTATTGTTTGGTAAAAGTTTATTACATACAGGTTGGTGAAGTTTTCATTCACACCATTAATTAATGAGTCAAAGGCACTCAGGCTCTTGATATACAATCTGCTATTTTTAACCAGGGCACTTAACTGGTCTTTAGACACATTTTAGTATACACTTTCTTTAGAAAGTAATCATTGATGGAATTTAGGTTATATTCCAATCTCCACAAGATTATAACTCGTTTTTTTCTGGGATGCCACAAAGAATTATTAATGGTAGTACTAGAGCTTAGAACCATTGCATGGTTTTAGCAGCCTTGTAGACCTTAAATACCCGTCTGACAAAAATAACTTTGTTTCAGATTTGGTTTCAAAATTTTTGATGTACCTTTAGCTTTAGATGTATAAAGAGCACTTTCAAAATTATGAGTACATCTTGTTTTAAAATCATTGTAAGGGTAGTGATAGGTTTTCCTGGGAGGAACAATGAAGGACTGCGTGCATATTAATAAAGGCATCCCTTGGTATAGGGAACATTGGGGCTTTGTTTGGGATTTGAAAAGAGGATGTGATCCGTGAGGCTTCTCAGCAGGGTTCATGCCAGTTTGGTGGGGAAGTGGTCTCGGAATAATATCCTTTTTGAATTTAAAGAGAGAATATTTGCGGAGAAGGTTGAAATAGTGAAAACATATTTAAAACGATTAATTTTTGTTCACTCTTGATATTTTTCTTGAGTGTTTACATTCTGATCATTAAATGAAAGGAATACTTGAGGTGTGTGTGTCCAGGGTAGCGGTTGGGGGTGAATAACAGTATTAGGGGTTGGTGAAATACCTTGTCAGTTAACAGCAATAGGTAAGAATTATTCCATGTGAACAATATGTCCAGATATGTAGGCTTAATTCAATTTTAAAAACATGCACTGAGTCCCTACTACGTGCAAGCAGTGTCCAAGTTTAGTCATTATAGAGGAGAAAACAGAACATAAACAGTGATCAGTTTACCGTGAAGCTAATGCAGGTCAATTTGGAACCTGCTCCCTTACACAGTCTCCTTCTGGGCCCTGGGTTGGGGGGGAGGGGCTTTAACCATGTGTCCAGATGACCATTTGCAAGATTAAGATATTTTAGCTATAATCAGTTAAGATTGCTGTCAGTTTTAACTCCAGTTTACTCTCCAACATACTCCCATTTGGGTTGTGTGAGAATGGCCACAGACATTTTTGGGAGAAATTTTGGAATAATGCATTTGTGGTTTTGTACCTGTATTTCTGCCTTATGCAAAGGAAAACGGTGGAAAAATATCAGTCACATATACATATTGATACGTAAGTAAGTTGGGACTCTTTTGGGAAACGATTTGTCTTACTAAGAGTTTTGACTCAACTTTAGAAGGAAAAGAAATCATTGGTTTACCAAGGACTATATGTTGATAAGAGATGATGAGTTACACTCTGCCTGTTTTATTTGTAAGGTGGGAATCGCTTTCCTGCTTGGTAGGTTCTGTTAAATGGCAACAGTTCCCATCCCACTTTCATAATATTGGAGTCGTATTATATTTCCCATTTGCTTCCTGTTGGCTAAGTAGGAAAAAAAGAAACTACCGTCTCCCAGATTCCTG